ACACAATGGAAATCGAAACACCAGAGCACCAGTTTTTTACATTGAGAAACGTTTTTGTGAGTCAACTAACAAGGAGACAAAAGGAAATGCTCAAATATATCTCCCTGAGCTGGGGGCTGGTCATCTTTTTTTTTTTTTTTTTTTTTTTTTTTTTTTTTTTTTTTTTTTTTTTTTAATAAGCATAGGGTAATGAGGTGTGATCTTATTAAATTTTGCAGTGACATGATGCCAGGGAGCATGATTGGATCCTGGATCTACCTCCTAATTCAGTACTTACTACTCAGTCCAAGCACTAGGTTCTGCTTGTGGTTGCATGCTTGGTTTATCAGCAAGCCTTTATGGAAAGCCTACTATGTGTGATGAAGGTACTGGTCCAGGTGTTTTACAGGTACATTAAATTTAATTTAGAGTAATTTGAAACAAATTGCCTTAACAGTGAAGTACTTTTAGTTCCTTGAAAACTTAATAGCAATTCTTTTTTTGTTGTTTTGTTTTTCTTTTTCCGAGATGGAGTCTCACTGTTGCCCAGGCTGGAATGCAGTGGTGCAGTCTCAGCTTGCTGCAATCTCTGCCTCCCAGGTTCAAGAGATTCTCATGCCTCAGCCTCCCAAGTAGCTCGGACTACAGGCGCCTACCACCAGGCCTAGATAATTTTTGTGTCTTTAGCAGAGATGGGGTTTCACCATGTTGTCTAGGTTGGTCTCAAACTCCGGATCTCAAGTGATCCATGTGCCTTGGCCTCCCAAAGTGCTGGGATAACAGGTGTGATTTAAAAAATCTCTTCAATGACTGAATTTCAGGTAACAAGTGTTAAGAGTTCAGACAGCACAGGATTTATCAAACAATTTATTTGAATCTCTGGTCCCCAAGGTCAGATGGTGTCGAGCAGGGAGAAAGAATTAAATGGTGGAAGGAGCTTTGGCCTCCCAAAGTGCTGGGATAACAGGTGTGAGCCACCACACCTGGCCAGTTACTTTCTAGTTCTCTTTTAAAAAATAAGAAATGGAAAGTAGTGATAAATATGAGTAAATGCCAGAGAAAAACAATGATAAATTATTGGAACCAGTCATATGTTCTCTGAAACCCAGAGATGTGTCAGTCTGCCAGTGGTAGGAGTTTTAGTGCCAAGAATATAAAAGGAAAATTGTCCTTCATCTTTTTGGGGTATAGTTTTGTCAACCTGAAGTAATCAAAAGGATCAGAATCCAGTTTTAAAGAGTTTATTCATGTGAAAGGCTAGGAATGGCCATCCAGGAAACAAAGACTCCAGAGAAATGGGAGTCAGCACTCTGAAGTTAAAAGTTAAGGTCTTGCATATAGGAATAAAACAAAGAAATGTAACAGGATCATAACATTTTCTGTGTAAGGCTGATTTATGAGTTATAACAGTTCAGTTACAGTTTGTTTTATTTTTCCTGTGGCTTGTTTTCTTTATAGCTGATTTTCATTTTCTTTCCAATTTAAGAGTGTATTTAATATTCCATCTTAAGAAAATGTCATAGTCATGAAGTCTGTGTAAGAAAGGTAAGAGGAAAGTTAATCTATAAGGAAAATCAACAGAGAAGAAGGAAGTCTCCTTCTCTGACATCCTTTGTTCATTTAACAAAACATTGAAACATTGTAGTTAAAGAAGAAGGCTAATCTGTAATAAGAGAAACAAAGATTATAGCTTTATATGTTACAGTTGCATGTCATGCGATTTAGGCCTCATGGTCACATTTCTTTTAAGGCTTAAAATAAAGTGCCAGCAGCTTAGATTTTGAATTATTTATTTTCACAGTTTCATAGATGGTAGTCAGAGGTAGTCTCAGGGTAACTATTTTTCAAGCCAAAGAACTCCTTATTGAGAATGAATTAATTTATGTTCATCATTTCATCAGTCTCTTAAAGTATGTCATTATGTCAATATTGAGTAAATGTGTTTGGGAAATAACATAGGATTCCTAAAAGACATATCAACATATAATGTCAGATACCGAGGAATTTTTTGAAGAAAAAAATGATGTCAGGGAAGGAGAGAGTTTGATGGCTATGAGGGGTGCTATTTTATAAAGGCTGTGCTGGCTTTTTTGCTATTCCTTGAATATAGTAAATATATTTCCATTTTACGGCCTTTGCACTTATTATGGTTTCTGGCTGAAATGTTTTCCTTCAGATATTTGCTTCAGTTGTTTTCTCATTTTATTCAGGAGTCTGACCTTCTATCTAAAGAAGCACCTTTCACCATTCAATTATTTCTCCCTGCTCTACACCATCTGACCTTGGGGACCAAAGAGATTCAAATAAATTGTTTTATAAATCCTTTGCTGTCTGAACTCTTAATACTTGCTATCTGAAATTCAGTAATTGAAGAGATTTTTTAAAACATATATTCTTATTTGATCTAGATATCTCAATCAGGGACCAAATAATTTTGTATAGTAAGGCAAGGGTTCCCAACACTTAGACCAGGGACCAGCACCAGTCCATGGTCTGTTTGGAACTGACTGCACAGCAAGAGGTGAGCAATGGGTGAGTGAGGGAAGCTGAGCTCTGCCTCCTGTCAGATCAGCGGTGGCATTAGATTCTCATGTTAGCATGAACTCTATTGTGAACTGTGCATGTGAGGGATCTAGGTTGCACACTCCTTGTAAGAATCTAATGACAAATGTAAAGCACTTGAATCATCCTGAAACCATCTCCTTCCCACATCTGTAGAAAATCTGTCTTCCACAAAATGGTCCCTGGTGCCAAAAAGGTTTTGGACTGCTGTAGTAAGGTATACCTGGAGTTTTCTTCACAGCACTTACTACTTTCTGATTTGTTTGTCTCTCTGTCTTTCCATTGTCTCCTTCACTAAATTGTCAGTTCCATAATGGCTGGGATTTTATTATGTTTATTGCTCTATTCTCATCACCTGGAACAATGCCTGGAATCCAATCAATTCTTAGATAATGTGTGTAGAATAGATGTGTTGACATATGAATGAATCTGTTTGACCCGATATCATCTATACTTTTTATTTTAAAAGTATGAATATAGGCCAGGCACAATGGCTCATGCCTGTAATCCCAGCACTTTGGGATGCCAAAGTGGGAGGATTGCTTGAGCCTAGGAGTTTGAGACCAGCTTAGCAACATGGCAAAACCCTGTCTCCACAAAAAACACAAAAATTGGCCAGGCATGGTGGCACACATCTGTAGTCCCAGCAATTAGGGAGGCTGAGGTAGGAGTATCACTTCAGCCCAGGAGGTTAAGGATGTAGTGAGCTGTGAGCATGCCACTGCATTCCAGCCTGGGCAGCAGAGCGAGACCCTGTCACAAAAATGAATGAATGAATGAATGATTGAATGAATGAATAAATAAATAAGTAAAAGTATGATTATATGGAAAGGACATGTTATATGTTATTAAGTTTTAAGGAGCACAATATGAAATTATATATAGTTTCCACTTAGGTTTAAAAAAAAAATCAAGCCTTTGCATGTGTTCATTTAGTTATTCATTCCTTGAAAACAAAAGTCTTAACCATCTCCTGTTTGTCCATTCTGGGCTAAAGCGATCTAACTCAGTTTACAGTTTTGTAGGAAGACAGATCATGAAACAACAGTAAATGAATGATACCCTTCTCTTCACTCACTGCTCTCTAGCCATATTGATCTTTCAATTTCTCTAAGCAAGCTCTTTCCTGTGCACATTTTACTGTCTTAACAGTGCTTCTTGTATTATAAAGCTGGTGATTATGTATTTATAAATATAGTTATCTGCCCGATATTTCTGTCTCTATATTGTATGTTCTGTGAGGGCAGAAATCATGATACCGTTTAATTGTCAATACCTAGCTCAATGTCCAATACATAGTAGGTATTCAGTAAACATTTCTTGGGCAAATGAATGAATAGGTGATTAGAGAAAGTATGTAGTAGAAACACTTTATTGAATCTAATGGAAGTTAGTAGAAATTTCCCCACAGAAGTGAATTTTAAGCTCAGATCCAAAGAATGAGGAGGAATTAGCAAGTGAAGAAGAACAGACAGAGTGTTCTGGAGCTTAAGCTTAGATATTATCCTAAAGGCAAGAGAAGAGTTTTAAACAAAAAAAGTAGCACTATCAAACTTCCATTTTTCAGTGTTGTTATGAACCGACTAGATGGGCAGTGCTGGAGCCAGAGAGGTTGGTTGGGAGGCTTTAATAATAGATGGTGGTGGTCTCATTTGGGTTCTTGGCAGTGGAGAAAGGGAGAAGTGGATGTGTTTGAGACATTTTTAGAAGGCAGAATAACTGATTGGGGATAGTGAAGGAAAAGGAAGAGTTAGTATGACTCCAAGTTTCTGCTTTACAATTGAGAGGATCCTTGGGCCATTGATGGAGACTAAGGCCTCAGAGGGAAGAAGTATCTGAGGAGTAAAGAACCTGAGGTACCCTGGAGACCTATCTAAATGAGGGCTAAGCATTAAGGACTTGGTTATGTAGGTGAATATTCTGGGTATAGATACTTAAAAAATGCCTTGAAAGAATCAAAATGTTAATAATATTGGGACTCAAGTTATATTCATTTTTTATTATTAAGTTTTAGTTTTCATTATTAGTATATTTTTGTGAAGGAAAATAATAAACTAAAAAATTATATTAGCATGGGAAATGCAACATGAAAAAAAAAAGAAACAAAATTAATACCTTCTTTAGGCAAAATGTGGGCTACACCCAGTAAACATAAATGATTGGTCCTAATGAGAAGCCTATTGTGAAATGAGTTCAACATTAGCTTGTGTGCATGGGGATGAGTCATCTGGAAATTTAAACTTATGGTTCAAAGAGGGCCTGCTAGAGGGAGTGACTGTCATTTATTCGTCTATGTATCCTTAGGAATCAGCACAGTGCCTTTACCTAGCAATGGCTCAAGTGATAGCTATGATTTGAGATTTGTTATTAACACATTAATTTTATTTATATCGCTATTCAACATTGAATTTTTATACAATGTTATACAATAATCTAATCTATGTCATCTTGGGTTTTAGGTAGATTGGGGTCAACTGGACTACTTAGTTGTTGACATGCCACCAGGAACTGGAGATGTGCAGTTATCAGTCTCACAGAACATTCCTATAACAGGTAAATCTTAAAAGTTTAAAATAATTTGTCCTTTTTTGATGTGTCTTCATTGCTATACCAAAAAAACTCCATGCCAGGCAAATATTTTGTCTTAAAAATATTCTTTCACTTACAAATTTTTCATTAGAGATCAGAAGCATAAATTAAATTTTTCAAAATATTGCCAGAATACATATATTTATAAAACCATGACACTTTTGTTACTAGGAAGAATGGAGTCTCTGGTTCTTGTTCTTGGGAGAAGGAATTCGCCCAAGAGGCAACTTTAGCAAAAAGAACAGGGAATTTTTTGAAGAAAGTATATGCCAAGAGAGGAGCAGGCTAGAAAAGCAGCAGTAGTAGCAGCAAGGGTTAAGTAGATAGTATGCTCTAAAAGAGGAGGCAGAGCGAGCTACTTGTAAGAAAATGACACAGCAGCCCTGTGAGTTTAACATTACAGTTTTCCTTCGATTAGACTCTTTCTTTAAGTTCCTGCCTATCTCAAGTCTCTGCCTTTGTCTTTGGCTAGTTTCCTACCTCTGCCTTAAGTCTCTACCTTGTCCCTGCCTAGTTTCTGCCACAGTTTTGTGGGATTCTGTTACAGTTGATGCCCATGTATGTGCCTGGTGTTGGCTATGAAGCCTACTTAATGGCAGTGTTGCTCATTACTGCCACCCCAGAAAGGTCTTACAGCAGTTCAATATGTACTTATTATGCCTGCATATCTCTTAGAAATTTCCCCTTTGCCCTCTTTCCCTCTTTATCAGTATGTAGCTGGTTACATTCTGACAGGTTAACTGCAGAATGAGCAATTATGGGTCTCCTAAGGGGCATTTCAAGGTGTTTCTTTCTGCATAAGCATTTCCCTTCCTCTCTGTTCATATCTAGCATGCAGCTTTTGGGTGGTCTCTGGGATGTGAGATTTTCCAGTCTTACTTTTCTCAGGGCTCTCTCTCCAACTCATTTCCAGCTATCTGCCTGCTCTAACACTTCAAAAACGTGATAGCATAAATCTGTCTTCCAAGAAAGCAGTAGCATTTAAGTATTTTTCTGGTAGAACATGACTAGTTCACTGCTGTGCAACACTTACACCACTGGCACATAACAGACACTTGGCAAATATTTATTGAATGAATACTAAATAGGGATAAATATTAGGAAAATTGGCTTTTCGATAAATACAACTATGAGATAATTTTATAGTCTGCTAATTAATATTAAAGTTGAGAGAAATAACATTAATAGCTTATATCAAATATAATACTTCAGTATGATAGTGCATATCTTTTTTATGATATGGAATTTAAATATTAGTACAGTAGTTACTTTTTATATTGAATCTGTTTCTAAAGATTCCACTAGAGAAATAGTTGCAAATCTGTCATATATAAAGGATTTATGGGAAAATAATGGAATTTTAAAATATTTTTGCATAACCAGTAATATACTGGTTACAAGACAATATTGACATCTGAGGATCAAAAGGTTTAGAATATAAGTTTTTGACAAAATATACATGTTGTTTAAAAATATCAATATAACCTAATTAATAGAGATACTTTTAATGTTTTCATATATTTGTAATCTTAATGGGGTCTGAGACGTTTTTCCTTTTTTATTATACTTTAAGTCCTGGGGTATATGTGCAGATCTTGAAGGATTGTTACATAGGTATACACATGCCATGATGGTTTGCTGCCTCCATCCCCCCCTCACCTACATTAGGTTTTTCTCCTAATGTTATCCCTCCCCAATCTCCCCACTCCCTCCTATCCCTCCCCTATCCCCCCACACCCCAACAGACCCCAGTGTGTGATGTTCCCCTCCCTGTGTGCAAGTGTTTTCATTGTTCAACATCCACTTATGAGTGAGAACATGCAGTGTTTTGTTTTCTGTTTTGTCAGTGTACTGAGAATGATCGTTTCAGATTCATCCATGTCCCTGCAAAGGATGTGAACTCATCCCTTTTTATGGCTGCATAGTATTCCATGGTGTATGTGTGCCACATTTTCTTTATCCAGTCTATCATTGATGGGTGTTTGTGTTGGTTCCAAGTCTTTGCTAAGATAAACAGTGCCACAGTGAACATAGGTGTGCACGTGTCTTTATAATAGAATGATTTATAATCCTTTGGGTATATGCACAGTAATGGAATTGCTGGGTCAAATGGAATTTCTATTTCCAGGTCCTTGAGGAATCACCACACTGTCTTCTATAATGGTTGAACTAATAATTTACACTCCCACCAACAGTGTAAAAATGTTCCTGTTTCTCCACATCCTCTCCAGCATTTGTTGTCTCCAGATTTTTTCATGACTGCCATTCTAACTGGTGTGAGATGGTATCTCAATGTGGTTTTGACTTGCATTTCTCTAATGACCAGTGATGATGAGCTGTTTTTTATATGTTTCTTGGCCTCGTAAATGTCTTCTTTTGAAAAGTGTCTGTTATATCCTTTGCCTGCTTTTTGATAGGTTTGTTTTTGTTTAGTTTTGTTTCAGTTCTTTGTAGATTCTGGATATTAGCCCTTTGTCAGATGGATAGATTGCAAAAACTTCTTCCCATTTTGTTGGTTGCCGGTTCACTCTAATGATAGTGTCTTCTGCTGTGCAGAAGCTCTTAAGTCTAATTAGATCCCATTTGTCTATTTTGTCTTTTGTTGCCATTGCTTTTAGTGTTTTAGTCATGAAGTCCTTGCATATGCCTATGTCCCGAATGGTATTGCCTAGGTTTTTTTCTAGGGTTTTTATGGTGTTAGGTCTTATGTTTACACTTTTAATCCCTCTGGGGTTAGTTTTTGTATAAGGTGTAAAGAAGAGGTCCAGTTTCAGCTTTCTGCACATGGCTAGCCAGTTTCCCCAACACTATTCATTAAACAGGGAATCTTTCCCCCATTGTTTGTTTTTGTCAGGTTTGTCAAAGATCAGATGGTTGTAGTTGTGTGGTGTTACTTCCGAGGGCTCTGTTTTGTTCCATTGGTCTATATGTCTGTTTTGCTACCAGTACCATGCTGTTTTGATTACTGTAGCCTTGTAGTATACTTTGAGGTCAGGTAGCATGATGCCTCCAGCTTTGTTCTTTTTGCTTAGGGTTGTCTTGGCTATGTGGGCTCTCTTTTGGTTTCATATGAAGTCTAAGGTGGTTTTTTTTTCAACTCTGTGAAGAAAGTCAATGGTAGCTTGGTGGGGATAGCATTGAATCTATAAGTCACTTTGGACAGTATGGCCATTTTCACAATATTGATTCTTCCTAACCATGAGCATGGTATGTTTTTCCATCTGTGTGTGTCCTCTCTTATTTCCTTGAGCAGTGGTTTGTAGTTCTCTTTGAAGAGGTCCTTCACATCTCTTGTTAGGTGTATTTCTAGGTATTTTATTCTCTTTGTAGTAATTATGAATGGGAGTTCACTCACGATGTGGCTCTCTGTCTGTTATTGGTGTATAGGAATGCTTGTGATATTTGCACATTAATTTTGTATCCTGAGACTTTGCTGAAGTTGCTTATCATATTAAGGAGATTTTGGGCTGAGATGATGGGGTCTTCTAAATATACAATCATGTAGTCTGTAAATAGAGACAATTTGACTTCCTCTTTTTCTAATTGAATACGCTTTACTTCTTTTTCTTGCCTGATTGCTCTGGCTAGAACTTCCAATATGATGTTGAATAGGAATGGTGAGAGAGGGCACCCTTGTCCAGTGCCAGTTTTCAAAGGAAGTGTTTCCAGGTTTTGCCTATTCAGTATAATATTGGCTGTGGGCTTGTCATAAATAGCTTTTATTATTTTGAGTACGTTCCATTGATGCCTAGTTTATTGAGAGTTTTTAGCATAAAGGTCTTTTAAATTTTGTCAAAGGCCTTGTCTGCATCTATTGAGATAATTATGTGGTTTTTGTCATTGGTTCTTTTTATGTGATAGATTATGTTTATAGATTTGCGTATGTTGAACCAGCCTTGTATCCTCAGAATGAAGCCAACTTGATTGTGATGGATAAGCTTTTTGATGTGCAGTTGCATTCAGTGTGCCAGCATTTTATTGAAGATTTTTACATTGATGTTCATCATGGATATTGTTCTGAAATTTTCTTTTTTAGTTGTGTCTCTATTGGATTTTGGTATCAGGATGATGTTGGTCTCATGAAATGAGTTAGGGAGGATTCCCTCTTTCTGTATTGTTTGGAATAGTTTCAGAAGGAGTGGTGCCAGCTCCTTTTTGTATATCTAGTTGAATTTAGCTGTGAACCTGTCTGGGCCTGGACTTTTTATGGTTGGTAGGCTATTAATTGCTGCCTCAATTTCAGACCTTGTTATTGGTCTGTTCAGGGACTCAACTTCTTCCTGGTTTAGTCTCTGGAGGGTATAAGTGTCCAGGAATTGAACCATTTCTTGTAGATTTACTGGTTTATGTGTATAGAGTTGTTTGTAGTAATCTCTGAGGATAGTTTATATTTCTGTGGAATCAGTGGTGATATCCCCTTTGTCATTTTTTATTGCATCTATTTGGTTCTTCTTCTTCTTTTTTATTAGCCTGGCTAGCGGTCTATTTTGTTGATCTTTTCAAAAAACCAGCTCCTGGATTTGCTGATTTTTTAAAGGGTTTTTTGTGTCTCTCTCTCCTTCAGTTGTGCTCTGATCTTAGTTATTTCTTGTCTTCTGCTAGCTTTTGAATTTGTTTGATTTTGCTTCTGTGGTTTTTTAAATTGTGGTGATAGGGTGTTGTTTTTAGATCTTTTCTCACTTCTCATGTGGGCATTTAGTGCTATGAATTTCCCTCTAAGCACTGCTTTAAATGTGTCCCAGATATTCTGGTATGTTGTATCTTCATTCTCATTGGTTTAGAAGAGCATCTTTATTTCTGCCTTCATTTCATTATTTATCCAGTAGTCATTCTGGAGCAGGTCATTCATCTTCCATGTAGCTGTGCAGTTTTGAATGAGTTTCTTAATCCTGAGTCTAATTTGATTGCACTGTGGTCTGAGAGACTGGTTGTTTTGATTTCATTATTTTGCATTTGCTGAGGAG